AATGCACAGGGCATGAAGCAAATGAAGGAAAAAATGTGAGCCACCATATATTGCATCACTGTAAAGATAACCACTTCTTATCCCATAAAATGCCTTTGGTCAGCCCATCTCCTTTATGGGAAAAGCAGAGTTTGAATAACACAGCTCTTTCTTTCTCCACAATATCATAAGGTGAATATTGATTCTCAACTCCTGGAGCAGTTACTTTAAACCAAAACTGTCGTGACTAGGATTCACCAAAATATGGGATGGTATGGTGTTTATTGTATACTCATTCTTAGAGCATTTTGTCAGCCCTGTAAGATATTTTTTTAAAGCCTACTTTTGCCTTCCCCTGTATATGTAGTTTGGTATTCTCTTTGGTTTTTCTTTTATGCTATTAAAGTTATTTTTTAAAAATAAAAAAAACGTAAAGCCTTACAGTGTCACTATTTGATATGAGATCTGAAAACAGCACAGAACATCCTTTCACAGACATCTAGGCAGGAGATTGGCTTTAAAACTGTACTCTAAGGAACAAGACAAAATTATGTAACCAGGTATAACATTTCAGTTTCACAATCATGCACCATTCAGGTGGCCTTTCTGCTTCCTGAGAACTGATATATACTCATGTGTACAAAAGACACTTACTGCAGTATGTACAGTGACTGGCTGATACATTTGGCCTGATTTTCTCACTATTGTGTCATTCAGCATCATTAACATTAACTTACTTCCAATGACATTTAGATTTTTACTTAAAGCATGCAATTTTGTTAAGCATAGTCAGTAGAAAATATATTTAAAAAAGTAACCATTGATAAGCTTGGCCCCAATCTGTCTGTAATTGCTCATAACTGCTTGCAAATGTATAGGAATCAGTCCTTGTAATCTATGATTTATAGTACGCATCAATCCTAGGCTCTTTTAAAGCTTGTTTTCTATCATGGGTGTCTTCCCTGTGCAACACAGTAAATTGTAACACAAGCAGGAAATTTCAGTTATCCTAGCATCATCCATAGCTCCACATGGATTTTGCAGGTGAGTAAAAAAAAAGTATAATCATCAAATGCAAAGAAAAGTGTAGAGGTTATAGGGCTTGGTTTTTCTCTATCTAGAATTAGAGAGCATAGGAGAAGTCCAGGTATATAAATAAATTTGTCTCACCCACCTCCACTTCTCTAACTTCATAGAAGATTGCCTATCAGGATTTTGGACGCTCTTTCATGGTAGTTATGAATTTGGGCCCTGGGTTTGGAGGTACCTCAGTTCTAACTCTTTTCCCCTCTAACTATTAGTGATGGATGTGACCTGGGAGAGTTGGGTAATCTCTCTGAGCCTCCCTTTCCTCATCCATAAATGTGAATAATAATATAAGCTATGGTGTTGTAAGTATTAAATCAGCTTGACACAGTAGAAACTCAATCAATACCAGTTGACATTATTGTTGTTCCATCAACACCATGACTATCCTCATCACTTTCTTACATGTTGATCTTATATGTGCATAGTCCGTAATGTCACATAGAGCCAGATAAGAAATTAATTTTTAGCTTATAATGATACCTACCTTGTTTAAGCTGCTTGTAGTAGTTCATGTTAGCATCTTATGGTAAGTTTGTTGTTTCAGACTAAGTTTATTTGACGTAAGAGAATTCAGGATTACAGAATAAAGAAAAAAATGGGTGTTTTGTTAAAAACAAAGCAACAACAAAAAGGAATAGATGATAACAAGAACAGAAACACCCAAGTAATGATCAGTAGGCATCTTTCTGAATAAATATGATTGGTTCATATTGTTAACATGGGAATCAATGCTTTTCTAGTTTTTAAGAGTGTTCTTATGTATAAACCACCTTCTTCCAATCTTGCTTACACTGTGGATTTGCTTTAACCTACTAACTCATAATTAAAGGTAGATATAAGAGCCAACCCTTACTCCTCCAATTACGACCTCCTCACAGTGGGATTAGAATTGATAAGGCTTGCCCTGTGCAGTTGCAATGACATCACTGGTTCTCCACATTCATTCTGCCTCTATGACCCTTAGGAGTCAGGCTCATTTTTAAACTCACTTTTTTTCTGCTAAGTTTCACTGAGGAGACTGTCTTTTTTAATTACTAGAATTAAAACAAAATCTACCCAATGTAGTACACAATTCAGGATTTCATTTTATTCTGCTTGATGAGGAAGATTATGCAGAGATGAAGTAGCATGGCTTCACAAGATTATTTCATATGAGTAGAATGTAGTTTTATATAAGAGAATAGATCTTCTCCCACTTTATGGGCAAACTATCTGAGTCAACTTCTTTTCTCTGAGAAAATTTAGAATTCTGTGAGAATGTCTACAAGTCTCCAGGAATGGATGCAAGCATGGTAGCTTTATGGTATCTATATATATCTTTCTCTATATCAATCTGTTTTGTGTGTCCATCTGCACAGCATAGGAGGAATGAGCCCAAGAAGGTGACTCTGTTAAAAGTATTTTAAAACCAGTTTGACTATTTATTGGCTCCAACTTAAGAGGAAAACTTTTTTAAAAGACCCCGTCCAAAGGTTTAAGTTATGCTGTGTCACTCTTCCTTTTCCAGGATAACTTATTAAAATGCTGCAAATCTGATTTATTCCAGTCCCTTCAAATTTAACCACAAAGTTTACAAACAGAGATTTCTCCCATTTACACTTCAAAATGTTTTTATTTTAAGGTTCAGGTTTCTATAATATGTAGAATTAAATTAGAGATCTGTAAATTTTTTTTTACTCACATACTACCTAGAAGAATTTTTTAAAACTGCATTCCTACTTGTATAAAGCGGACATCTAAATTTGTTTTTATTGTAAGTCTAAATTGCAAAGGATATAATTTATGGCATATGGTAAGTGTTAATATTTAAAAATATATCCATTGCACCTTGGCCAGGAAGCTCAGTTGGTTAGAGAGCTGTCCTGATACACCAAGGTTGCAGTTTGAGCCCAGGTCAGGGTGCATACAAAAATCAACCAGTGAATGCATAGATAAGTGGAACAACAAATCAACGTTTCTCTCTCTCTCTCTCTCTCTCAAAAAAAAGTTAATAAAATAAAAAATTTCACAAAATAAATAAAAATCAAAATATACCTATTGCATTCATTTAAAAATTAATAGAGTATTTTTGATATTCTCTATCATCTATTAAAATTTAATAAATAAATTCCTTTTTAATAGTTGGAAATTTTACATGTTCCTTTTCTTGTCTTTGAACTTGTATTTTCATTACATTTCCCTCACACAGTTATAGCTTAATATGACATTTTTTATATGGGAAGGCATTTATTCCATCAATATTTCTTTGTAACAAAAATATTTATATAAGCGGAACCTAACCAACAGTACAAAGATGCAAGGAAAATATGATCAGCAACACTGAAAGGAAAAGAAATCAACAGAGACAAGACGGAAGCGGGGGTAGGGAAAAGGAAGGGAAGGGGAAAGTCAAGGAACATAGAGCAAGGACTCATGGACAAAACCAAAGGGGAATAGCTGAGGGAGGGAAGGAGGGAGGGAGCAAGGGAAAGTGGTGGGGGAGAGGCAGAGACAAATGTATTTAAAAAAATAAATAAATAAATAAATGGGGGAAAAAAGAAAGAAAAAAATAAATTTACATGATTTTTTTATTTACCAGTGACCCTAATGCTTTAAGTATCAAAATTTTCTTTTGGGTTGGGTGATTATTATAAATATTACAAATGTACTATTGTCCAAAACAACATAAATGTATTATAAATTTTAATAAATAATTTTAAATTTTTTAAAAATTAAACTTTTATTAGAAATGTATGGAGCTGATTTTACTTCAATTAGTTTATATTTTGGAGGATAAATATCATTTACATTTTGAATGGGACATGATTCAACATAAATTCTATTCTCATTTTATAGATGTGTTGAGAGAGCTTGTTCACATAAATGAATAGATAAGAATGGATGAAATTTTGTTATAAAAACATCATTAATTTCCTTAAATTCCATCTAAGCTGTATGACTCAGGTTACCAAAAATTATTTTAATGATCTATTAGCTGACAAGTAGATTGAGACTTTCATTTTTATTGGAAAAAATAAAAAGAAAACCTACTTGTATGCAAAACAGCACATTACCCAGGCATTAGAATCACTCATTTGCTTTTGTCAGCACCAACACTGATATTTCAAATGGTCCTTCCTCTAGTGCTGCAAATGTTTTGTACCCTAGCAATGCACTGTGTAGTAATGTTTGGGATAAAAAAGACACTTTTCTTTCATAAAGTGGCAATAGGTAATTAAGAAAGAAGGCAGAAAGATATTTTTAAATGTAGGGTATTTTCAGTAAGGTAAATTTTAGGCAAATGTACATGTGAAGGTTGAGAAATTTATATTTTATTTCCTTAAAGTTATCCAGGACCATGTGCCCCTGTGAGAGTTGTTGTGTCTTCCTAAGTGCCTGTGTGTCCCTGTTTGCATACGCTGGACTGTATTGGTTTCACCCATGTGAGTTCTTGAATCACTGAATAAGGAAAAAGCGAATAGGAAGGGTTGGTGGAGGGGAGAGAGTGAGAGAGAAACAGTGAGACAAAGATTCAGAGATGGAGAACTCCATTTTCAATCAAAACGGCTCTATGCCCAGTCTGTCATATATTAAGGGAATATGCAATTCAAATAAGCAGAAGTGAGACAAATGGTTTACTATCGCCATAATGCTGGAATTATAAATAAACCTGCAGCAAGCCTCACCACTCTTCCCTTGACCTCATGAGATTTCCAATCATTTATTTTAGAGGAGTTTTAAACAAGTGTTGTGATACTTTTCCAACACAGGGGTACAAAAGAATGACAGGCATCATGTTTTAGTTTTACATAGAAGAGATCTGGATGGAAAAGAATGTGCTTTCTTTTAAAATACTCATCAAGAGGGCTTGGGTAAATCCAAAGCCCTTCAAGAACTGGAAAAATAAATGAAAGGAGACAGAAAAAAGTTATTGCAAAAAGCAAGCCACTTACAATGAGTGGACCCCGGTTGTTCTCACGATACTTGTTCTGGAAGAAAATGTAAACGACAGTGGCAGCCAAGGAGTACAGGAAGGCAAACACAGCGACGGTGACGAAGAACTCTGCTGAAGATGAAGAGTCGCCAATCAGTGCCAGCTTCTCCCGCTCCTTTCCCTCGCAGGTAGGCACCTCAAATGTCACCTGATGCAACCTAAAGTGCCAGATTTGAGACACTCTGTAAATGCTATCGAGAAAAATGTGGATGCCATGTCTACATGTTCTCTAGAGCAAAGTGGGAAGTGATTCAGGAGTGTTTATGGCATGCCTATGAGACAAGTTCATTAATGAAATGACAGCAATTATAACTGTAAACATGGAAGGAAATGTTGCAGTTAAACATCATGCTATTGGGTTTCACACTAACTGTCATTGGAGAGAGAGGGAAGAGGGAAGGGGAGGGGCACCCGAAGTGATGATGAATTAGAGCATGACATCCTCCTGCTTAAATTCTGCAGGGCTTACCCATATTAACCTGGACTCAAAACTTAACTCATAAATGTGACCCACCTGGTCTTACATCATGGTTCTAGCTTAGGATCTTTTCCCTGACTGTTACCTTTTTAAATGTCTCACGGCACCCTGATATTTCCCATGGCTGGCTTGTTCTTGGCATTCAGGCATGAGTTCAAATGCCTTCTCTTGGGATTGTCTTTTCCTGTCCTTTTATCTAAAATAGCTCCTTTCCCTTAGACATTTCTATCACAACACCCTGTTAAATGTCAGTCTTAGCACTCATCGCCAGCGACACTATCTTGGTAACATATTTAACTACTCATATTTTTCTGTCTCTACTGCCCCCTCCACAATAATGGAGATATTAATTTTCTTCTCTGTGTATTCAAATTCTTGACGTTCATTGGTCACTCACTAACTGGACTTGGATAAGTGAATGAACATTCTTGATTCTGTAAGATAACTGATAGATCCTAATTTTATTGAAATTTTAGAACTTCTACTTTAGGCAATCAGTTCTATCAGGAGAACATCCAGGATCAATATATTACTTAAAAGAGAAAAATAAGATTCTGGAGGAGTCAATACTTCCTGCTTAAAAAATGACACCTTAAGGAAGATGTATTATAATCCGTGGTTTAGCTTATGTGTGAACTAGATGGTAAACTGTAATTCAGTACAGGAGCCCAAATTCTGCTTCTTCAGAAATGAACTCATTATTCCTTGAGGCTGAGGGAAGCACTCATAATAGAAATAAACAGGTTTAGCAATATTAGTAAAGTATGTACCACTTGTAAAATTACCTACAAAAGTAACAATGATAATAAAGCCATTGATGAATCTGTTGAATTGCTAACTTATGCTTAGAAAGAATTTTTCTTGCTGAGCAAAACTCAAGCCCTTTAAAAAAGATTTGTTGAGCACATTCTCTTACAATTTATAAAAAATATAATGATAAAATACTAATAACGATGGCAAGTAACATATTGGAGCATTTCATGCATGCCAGATATTGTGTTTTATATGCATTATTTAATTTTCATGGCAACTGTATAACATAGGCACTTTATTGCCTCCTTCCACCTTCCAGATAAAGAAACAGTCTTATAAAAATTATTTGTCTAAGCTACATGGCTAATAAATTGGGCCACAGATTGAAATTTGAGTCAGATGCCAGAGCTTGATTTTTAATCTCTGAATTAACCTACTTCTGTTAAATAATGAGAGTATTAACTAGGATGATGGTTCTTTCTTTTAAAGTGAGGCCTATGGACCACTTAGCTTCAGCATCATAAGGGGCCTTGTTGAAAATATACATTCCAGGGCCTTGTCCCAGACCCACTAAACTGGAATCTTGAGGGGGGTGTAGCCTAAGTGATTGACAGTCAAAGCGGAAAAGTCCAGTCCCCCTGAGTTCCTTATGTCTCGCAAACCTGTTCTTTTTTATCTACTGCTTGACTTGAAAGAGAACTGTTTATACAGTCCACTTGATTTTGCTTGGTCACTGAGCCTCCTCCTCTTTCTTATCAAACAGAAAGGTGTGCACCTCTGGTAAAAATCAGGAAAGTAGAAGCATATGTCAGTTTTCTTGTACAATAGAACCACTTTTCTCCCATGCCAGAGATAATATAATATTTCTCAACAGTTTAGTCTGTGGGAAAGTCGAAGAATGAAATTGATTTTAAAAGTAATCATGCCAATTATTCTAGTATAGGTGATTTTCAGACAGTGTACGCTTTTTTCCTCATTATTTTATAATATGTCATTCATTCAACCAATTTTTAACAAATTGGTCTATAGTTCACACAATAGCTAGATGCTGGAGATAGAGCAGAAAACAAAAATGAGACAGGATGGTCCCGGGCCAAGTTAAACTTCAAGTTTAGAAGGTAAAGAAAGATTTTCTGAGTTGAGCCCTTGGCTAGTCTAGGGATAGGATGGTCAAGATAAAGTTCTCTATGGAAGTGATTTTTAAGCTGCAGCTTGAAAAATGAGTAGAAATTATTGAGATATTGGGGGTTAAAAGTGCAATGAAATGTGCTTTACATCCGCTTTACATCCACTAAAGTGGACTTTACATCCACTAAGGTGGTTGCATTCAAAATGATTATAAAATGGGAATAACAGGTATTATTAGCCAAATTAGATTTGAATAACATGTTTTAGTTGGAAAATGGGAATTTTAAAAAAATTTAAACAGGTAGAAATGGTGTGGCCATGTTGGAAAACAGTCTGGCAGTTCTTTTTGATAGTTAAATGTAGAGTTATTGTATGATCCAGCAATTCCTCTCCTAGATATTTACCCAAGAGAAATAACATTTTTCTCCATAAAAACTTGCACAAGAATGTTCATGGTAGCCCCAAAGTGGAAACAATCCAAATGTCTATCAACTGATGAATGGATAAATCAAATGTAGTATATCCATAGGATGGAATATTATTTCATGCAACAGCACGAATGAACCTTGAAAACTTTATATTAAGTGAAAGAAACCAGACGCAAAGGATCTTTTTAAGATTACATGCATATGAAATGTTCAGAATAGGCAAATTTATGGAGACATATATAGGTTAGGGCAGGGTACGGGGGAGAGTGGGAGAACTGGGGATAATGGGTAAGTGTTATGGATTGTCTTTGGGCTAATAAGAATGTCCTAGAATTGATTTTAGTGATAGATGCACAACTCCACAAATATACTTAATGAGAATTGTATATTTCAAATGAATGAAATGTGTAGTATGTGAATTACATCTCAATAAAGCTGTTAGTCAATAGGTAGGAAATAGTATGTACCAAGATTCTGCATAGGTAAATTGCAGAGCACGTGGGAGCATGAGATGGAGAAGTAGCCATAAATTTCCACTGTGGGGTCCTGAGGATCAGGTTATAGAAATTGGCCTTTATTTTAAGATAAACACTAGAAACACCTTCTTTCACAACAATGTAAAACAAAAATAGCAGGCAGAGCAGTGTCACCTGCCACAACCATTTAGCGACATACGCACTAGCTTTCCAGCTGCTAGGATGCACTTTATAATCAGCCATGCCATTCAACATGCCAGCTCCCTCAGCTAACATGCACAGACTGGGTCTGCAGTCATGTGTGTTGTGGGGGCAGCACACAGGGGGAGAATAAAATAATTGAGTTTTTTCTATGCAATAAACAGAATATCAACATTTTCCCCATTACTAATTAATTGTGTTGGTTTACAGTAAATATTAATTGTGCTTATAAGTACAAGGCAAAAAAAAAAAACCCACTAACAAATCGCTGTGCTTAATACCAATGATCTATAGTTAGTATTTGGTCCATGAGTCACACTGGGCAGAAATCAGGAGGAAGAGGGGAAATGGGAGTGAAGCTCTAAACTAGTGCCTGTTGTGTGGAAGGAAGGAGGGATTATTTATAAAAGAAGAACACGTCAGCTCAAAATAGTCTAAGCATAATAATCCATATCAGTGACCATTTTGAATGCTGTATGAAAGTATATATTACTAAACACACACACATGCACACACATATGTACATATATATTTAAGAGAAAGATTTGTTTAAGCAAGAGTTTCATACATATGGATAAATACATATGTCTTATTTTGGAGGGAAAGATTTTTCAGACAGCATGTGTTTAGCAGCTGTAATAACTTTGGAAGCAAATATCATTCATTTAGAACCTAAACAAGGGAAAAACTCTTCTGTACAGACAGAGCATATCAGTTGACAGAATCTGGAAGCAAACAGGCCCACCTCTGATCTTGTGAGAAATTAGCCAGGGAGCAATTGCTGAGCCTGCAAAAGGGACCAAATCCAATTTGTTGATTTCTAATGCATAATTCCCTTGTTGGCTGGCCTGACTCAATCAAGGGGTAATTGAATGATGCCAGGTTTCATTGCCTTATGGTGATCAAAAAGAGCCTCCATGTTATAGGTTTTATTTTATTTTATTTTTTTAGCTGATGCTTAAGCACAGTACTTTTAATATTTAACTGCTGCTTCATTTAAACTAAAGGAACTGCTTTGTACCCCACAGTTCTAGGAAAATATTAAGTGAATTAGTGTTTTTTAGTCATAAAAATATTTATGATAACGACCCTCATTTTTCGACCTCCAGGCATTATGCTAGGTTCTTTACCAACAGTTTCTCACTTAGTACTCATAATAACTTTCTTAGGTAGGTATTATTACTATAAAATTATACAGATGAGAAAACTGAGGCTTGGTGTGAGCAGTGAACTTGTCTGAGGTCATGTTGGTAATGAAGTGCAGAGATGAGTCTCAAATGTAAGCAGATTAGGAGGAACCTAGTAACTACTGTATATTTCTGTCTCTCTGTTTCAAAGTTATAGCATCCTTACATTTCCAGCTGAATGTGTGTATAAAAATGACCGACCCAGCTTTTCCATGCCATCTGATCTAAGGATAGACTGACAGGTTTTACTAAATAGGATTCTAAACTAACATTCATTTTGCCTCCACCTTGGACATTGCGCAAGGTACCCAGTAATGACATGTTGGAATCCCTGTAGAAAAACCAGTAGGAAGTCATTAAAAGCTCCCTAGTTTCCAAATTTAATTTTGGGTTATTCTGACATTTGTCTCAGACATGAGAAGAGGACCAATGAACCTGACTGCAGCATGTACTGAAATTGGAATTGTCATAGTCATAGTATCTGTAGTTCTTTATGGAAAGTGAGAT